TTAGCCTTTCAATTTTAATTCGATTAAATAAAATCATTTAAGTGCGTGTAAAATATTTGGGAAGTTGTGCAGGTGTTAAGAAGAACTAGTTAGAGTACAACATCGAAGGGAAGATTGTTAACTCAAACAGCCTTGGTTATCGAGTCATCTTTTCGCTCCATCTTCTCCTTTGAATGTCACGACTTTCATTGATATATTTTTTCTAGCCTAGCGATAAAGAACTAGCCGGGTCTTTGTTTATTAACCTTGATATTATAATAGTTCATTTGCCCATCGCGGCTTTCCCGTTGAAATAAATAGACTGGTCGTCTTCCGTTGAATAAAGGTGATGTAATTTTTAATTTTGAACGACATTGTAGACGCGTACAACAATAGCCGCGGATGAGCTCGCGTTAAATACGGGATGCAATTACGGGGAGTTATAAAAATCACGAAACGAACGGGTTTCTCGTGGTTATGGCGCGCACCACGGTGAATTTCAACGGGAAGGTAAAATACACAATAAAAGCACTCGAACGAGAACGCGTTTCCACGGCTCGATAATCGTGCCGCTCGTAAAACGCGCGGCGAACATTCTAACGATCTTCAAATATGATAGCTGCTGTATATTGGAAATATTAACGCCGCTGCATTATAGGGGAAAGCAGAACGAAGTTTCGTAAGTTCGAACTTCCGCTATAATCGTATTTTAACCCCGCGTAACTCGGGTCAAGAATATTCGTTATTACTCGGGAGAGGAGTTCCGAAACCCCTCGCCTTCAGAATTCTTAACATTTCCATAGGATGTTCGCGGTTTATAGCTGTCGTTTACGGAAGATTAAATTTCATCGAGTTTTAATCAATAAATTTGAATAAATTTACGTGTATTGAGGCCGCCAGCGTGTACTATGCTCCTTGCGAGAGCATTACGCAGATAAATATGACGGAAACTCGCACGTGGCGCTGAATCGTCAATTTATCGTAACTACCTGCGCTGGATCATCGTGCAAAATGTTTATTGAAATGTATTCTTCAGTTGCAATGTATATATAGAATAAATAAAATAAACATTTTATTTGAAAATAGGTGCTTCATTAAAATTACTGATTACGATGTGAAGAACATTAGATTAGTCATTGTTCAAGCTGTGTAGAATTTCATTGAGAAGTTTTGATGATGCTCGATTCTCCTTAAATAACAGGAATGCAGATTTATTTCGCTAATCAAGTATTCCAAATATGAAAACTTCTTCGAAGATAGCAGTGATAATGTGAACATTAAATTGACCATTATTCATATAGTGTTTTGAAGAATGGTAAAAGTTCCTAAAACGTTTTTCTCGTCCCGATATCCCTACAGAAATAATAGATTTTTTAATACGTTCCCTAACAAGTCAACCACTAAGTATACCTTTACCATCTCTTAAACTATTCAAAGCACGATAAAAATGGTTTTTTAAACCGAATTTTTTTCATATTTACGATTTAGTATATTTTTTAACGTTCTTGTCACAATTTGTACTCGATTCAAAACTATACAAAAAAATGATATTAAACTGTGCGAATGTTTTCTGAGAAGAGTATAGTATTTTTATTGCACGAAAAACGTTAGTTCTTCAAAACGAAGTTTTTGTTAAACGCGACCTTTCATGTTTCTAACTTAAAGGGGACGACAATTGAGTTTTGTGCTATTAATAAACCGGTTAGTGTGATGAGAAAGCAGTCAAAAGTTGTTCCACTTAATTATGTAATGTCACTTATTCTGTGTAACTTCGTTCTACAAACTCTTTGATAAATGATAGTTAAAAATAATTTGATGTGGCCACTGTTAAATGTTAACATTACTTTCCCATCAACCCGGTATACAATTTTCGTTGCATCCTAAACAGAATCGTTGGACCATTCAATAAATTGAGTTGGTCGCAAAGTCTTGTCACCTTTTCTTTGCAGTACAATGACGATTAGGCTGCGAATCTTTTGCATTTTTGGAAAAAACGAATAGCTACAACTTAAACGACAGTAAAATTAAACGAATCTAAACAATGCGAATATAAACTATCAATTTCAAAGCTGTAAAATTGTAAAGAAAGCAGAATTTTCTACTTCTTATAAAGATCTACTACTGATATTAGTACTGATATTATTATTATATTATATTATTATTATCTAGTACTGATATTATCGTATATATCGTATATAAATTAAGAAATAAAATATTATTAACGATTGAACCGCGAATCAGCTGTTTCATAAAAATCAGAATAAGCAAACAATGACCCGTAGCACGCACATCACCGAAGCAGGAAATTTCTTTCAGCAAAAATACAATAAAAATATCGTCAGATATTGTTAATAAACACAAGTTCTTAGCGTCCTCAAATTTCACGAGCACCACGAATGCATAAAAATCCGCGGAATACATCGAAAGATTCCAACAAAGCGAACAAGCCCGACAAAACTTCCCGACCAGCCGTCAAGACATCGAATACCAAAAAGATCGACGAAACGGCAAACGATTTTCCCCCGCGAATCCCGAAGAAGACCCCTCGTACCTGTGACACCGCGGCTCGGCGTGGTGCAACCTCATCCCGTCGCAGTGGACATTACGGAATCCCCCATCGGCGGAACGAGTCCTTTTTCTCATCACTCGTGGCACCTCGTGTTATCACATGTCACAGGTGATCACCGTGTACGCGTCTAGCACAAGTGTCACACGCGCACCACCGTTCCGCGAGCGCGAGGATCGCATCGAAGATCCTTCCCGGTCACGAGGACACCACACGAGAAACGCCACGGTTCACCACACGGGGCCTTGGCCGGCTTCCAAGTGCTGGCCGACTGCCGTCGAGTAGTATTGTCTCGCACACGGTCACCGCCACAAGTGGTTGCGTCCTGTCAGCGCTGACAGCGATGCGTTGGCTCGCGAAGGACACGCGACCGCCAGGTAAACATGATCGTCTTACGAAAATCCTCGAGCACCCTGTGATCGCGGCAGCCTCTGGATCGCGGCTCGCAGGACACCACCCATCGTGTTGGACGGGAAATCGAAGCTGGCCAGTCGACGTCTAGGCCAGCTGGCTGGCTATTGCTGTTGCCACAGAACTAGGTCCTGGCGGTGGTGTCCTGCCGCGGGATCGATCCCCGGAGGTAAACAGACCGTCGTTCCGAACAGGTGATCCTCCGCTGGACTGTCAACACGCGGCTACCTCGCGAATCGCCGCTGTTCCCGATCCTGGGACCTTCGCGAGCCTCCAGACCCTCCGGGACGATTTATTTCGGCGATACACAGGACTCACGGAGCACTGGTTCGATCTCGATCAGGACACCGCGGTGATCCTCGATCGCTGAATCCTGTCTGATCTCGAAGACACCGCCCGGTGTCCAGGAAATGGACAGAGTTGTCGTCGCAGGGCCACCAGTCCTGGCAGTTGGACGATCCTGATGACGACGGTGTGACACGAGAAGGACACGCTCGCCTGTCAGCTACTCGGGCTGGCTCTCTATTTGGCAGGCTATTGACTGTCATGCACCCAGCGTCGCTCCGTCGGAACTACAACCACTGGCACCACGCCTGCGTCTGAGGAGACGCTGAATGGTATCGGGATGCCGGCTGACCACGGGGTTGCAACGGCGCAGGTCGCCACGATCCCTTTCAAAAGCGACCACGAGTGGTGCCAGCGCGACTTTTGACTTGTTTCTCGTGTCCAACTTTCAGGTTTCCCAGCGATAGACTGGCGAGGTCGGGGGTGTTTTGGGGACTCGCTGGTTTCGATTGCTGTCGAGATGCTAGGAAGGGGGTAGCTCGTCGCAGGAAGGATTCGTTGGATTTTCAGAGTCGTGAATGAAGGGTCCTTGTATTTTGATTGCTGTTAAGGAAGGATTCTGTAAGGTCTCGGATGTCAAAAGCGTCTGGAACGGATGAGTGTTCTTGTGCTTTGAACGTTGGGATTAGGATCATCGAGTTCTGAGTACTGTCGAGGAAGGATTCCTTTGAATGGATACGGCACGAATTTTTCGAGAACGCGATTTTCTGGAATATTGGGAGTCTTGTTGAGATTCTCTTGTGTTTTGAAACTTGTGAAAGAATCGAATTCTCGCGATCTTCGATTTTGTAGTTGTTAGAAAGTTTGTAGATCAGCGTCGAAAGATTGAGATAGTTATCTGCGTCACGATAATAATGTAAAAAATATTTTAGATTGTTAGGATATTGCTTTTTGGGTGTGTACAAGCAACTTATTCCGCGAGGGAGATCGCGTAGCGATTTTCGCGATGAAGAAAATCCTTCGAGCACAGTTCCTGACGAAGAGAGTAAGCTTCGAATAATTACTTCCAGGCTGTGTGAGAAACTTTAAACGAACTTTCAGGTTTTCGTGAGGAAGATCTCTCGTGAACCTTCAGTGTTTGGTTTGATTGTGTACATTTAATATTGTAATTGCTAACTTTCTCGCGCTTTAAAGCGGACTATGAGCGTTCCGACGATGTTTTTCATTCATGAAATTAAATGATTTGTCGAGACAAATCCTTAAAGAAATAAGGCAATGGGAAGCTTGTGATTTAATTACGATGGCCAATCTTGGAAATATTTATTTCCAAAATAAAACGAATTGAGAATTTGATAAAACGTAAGTTTGACGAAACTTGAAAGATCGATGCGACTAAATTTCGCTGCAGAAATATCTTGTGCATCTTTCTAACAACGTATCAAACTTCAATTATTTACATTCAAAAAGAACAGTACTATCAGAAGAAACCTCACCGAAATGATCTAGCAATCACTTGGCAAAATAGGCAGATAAATATCATAGGATTCGATTACCATCCCACTCAAATCCGCAAAGTTCAACACCGCCTACGACACTGTGTCGACCGTCGGTAAATTACGAACACGTGCCACGCGAAATTCGAAGTGTTATCGAACGTTCTCGCGTCGGCGCGATATTTGAATCTTGCTCGAAGTAACTTCAAATGATTCCTTTTCACACGTCAGACTTTCTCCGTATATGCGCATCGCACATCACTCACCAGTTTGCGTACTACTGTCGAAAACGGTGCTCGAGTTCTCAAATGTCATCGACTCAAACGTGCCATCAGTGATTTGTACCGAACTGTCCCTTCGCCCTCGCAATCGTTGAACCTGATCAGAAAAATGTCAGCATTTTATTCCAGCTTCTACCTTCGCTCGTAGATGTTGCATTCACGATTTTCTACGGGAGCGACGAAAGCTTTTGCCACTCTTCAGGCTTCAAATAACTATCCCCTGCGAATTTAATACTTTTAATACTATTTAATAGTACTCCAAAAATTCTTTTTGACATTCATGTTTGCATTTGAGATATAATATATACATCGTTAGAAGCAAACTGATGTTAAATGTTCCAATTACACTCATTAAATCAGAGAAATATAGAAAAAAGCTTATTTTTCAAAGAATATGTGTGTTTGTACTTTTTCAATAGATTTCTTTTTCTCTCATAAATGTTAATAAATAAATGTTAATAATAAGAAATAGAATGTCCAACAGTTAATAGAAATTTAGATAGACGAGATACTATTTCAAATAATTATTTCCAGTGCATATGTTAAGAAAATATAATTAATAATTTTCTTTACCACAACATAGATAGCTATTTTCAATACGTATACTTATCTCTGTGACGTCGAACAAATCTTGAAACATTATTCCATAGAAACAAAAATATTTCATTAACTATCTCCAATTATTTTTTAAATATTTTTACCCAGATCTGGATATAACAGATTAACGTAAAAATGAATTTTCAAATGAAAGCAAATAATTTCGCGACAGTGAACGTGTTAAATGGATCACTGAAACACTAGAATATATATCAGTGAAAAACGAATTAAAAAGGAACAGAAAGATTGAGAGAATTTCGGAATATCGATACCTTATCCTCGACTTATTAATAGAATTAAAGAATCTCCTGCAGAAGATTATCATTTTCCATGAAGGTCTAAAAATAACTTCTAGAAGTGGTCGGAAACCCGATTCAATGTCGAGATGAATCCACGCACACCATCAGTCACTTTCGATCTAGCACGGATCTATCGTTAATCGTCGAAAGCTCACCGCCTCGTCGCTTTGCGAGCTCTGTTTCCGGAAGTTCCGACACCGAATCATCTCCTCCGTGGTGCTCTGCCGCCGGAAGCCACGAGCTATCATAATTTCATTCGTCACCAATTGCCTTCTGACGAGCGGAGCCTGCTGGATGCTCGATTGCCGAGCGCAAGGACTCGGCTCTCTCGAGGAACAGGACGACGCATCCGGCGATCTAAGACCGAAAATCGATGATCAGTCGCGAGCAATTGTGACTCTGGAAGACACTGAGACAAACCTCGAAACACTTAGAACACATAGCGCGACGACACTTAGAAGCTAATCGGTAATTACTTGTCTCCCTCCTATCGACTCTAATTAATGGATGTTAGCTGTTAAAAATTACAGTTCTTAAGGATCAGTGAAAACTTAAAATACTAGACCGGCGAAATATTTTCTCTAAGTGGCAGGATAGACTAATTGTAAAGAAGATTTTTAAAATGATGCTAGTTACGAACAGAGTTGGGCGTTGGGCGTAAACGTTCATTTAAATGATTCTTTAAATAAAATATTATTTGTCGTCTGAAAGTTTAAATAAAATACAAAAATAATTACTTACTGTTTATATAGATGTAAATAAATTATTTAAAGTAATAAAATTGATTTTTTATATATAAATACAACTTCAATTGTTACTTATTAATTATCATTTAATTGCTTGTTATTTACTATTTTTATTCGGCACGATCGTACATCGTAGTCATGAAATAATGGTCTTCAATCGTTCTAAGCGATATCATTGAGTTCAGAAAGAAATATGCAAGTTGTTCGATAATAATAAATGGAAATTATTATTATTTATTATTTGTCTTTTCCTGAAATCCGAATAAAACATAACATTTTATTTCACTGAATAAAAATGTTTAATTAAATAAAAAATGTAATTATCATTTGTAATTTTTTATCTATTATTTAAAATAATATTTGCCCACCTCTGAACGATTCTATTAGGAATGTGCAGTACTATCTTCCTCTTAGGATTTTGATCTCTGATGGTCCAGGAGGAACAAGAAATCAGTCTACTGATTAGGTGTTATAACGTTCGTTTACTGGTATTTATTTTAAGATAATGGACAAGGATTATAGAAAAAACATCTAGCTATTGAGATGAGTCGAAGATTGAGGTATAAATCGGAAGAAACTCGTGCGATTGATCAAGTGTTCGCGTATGGAACTCGTGCATTATTGCTTGTGAACGACAACCGAACGGGTCGAACTGTTAACTTTTAAGTGGGCCTTACCGGCGTGTCCTACTAGCAGACCTGGGACGAAACACATTAGTTTCATACCGTGAAACATTTTGTTCGTCTCATAAACAGACAACTCGAAAAGAAATAGTTCAATTTTAATCATCTCGCGAAACCTATTACAAATATAAAATCACACAAAATCATGTTAATTTAACCGTACAATTCTTTTCAAGTCAGCTAACATGAACATACACAACCGTCCATAAGTACGCTAATATAGACACTTCTGCATTTATCTCATGTTTTGCTAAGATAATTATCAGTCTGCAGTAACTATCATATAGCTGAGTAATTATTATTCCTTCTACGTAAATCTAATTATATAGACGTAAATCTATTAATTATATTATATATCTACTATAATATAAATTTAACAGAGAATCTATTGCAACGTCTCATACGCTCCTGTTTTTCAATCAATTTCAATTTGATTGTAATAATCGTTTTGTAAGGAAAAGAAAATTTATATCAATTCTGTACCTACGTTTACTCGAATACTTAAATATTGATGACAATAGAACAGACTTTTACTCCGGAATAACATGCACACTTAACAGATTGTTACTAGAAATTTCCGTCACGAGTCAGATTCGTCGAAATATGACGAAGAATGAATTCTAATAAATATGAATTCTACAAACGGAAAGGTGAAGAAACGATGAGAAATAAAATGTCTCATTTACGAAAGAGGATGTAGTGTTTGGCTCACCTCGTGTTTTGTCAAAAAAAAAAAAAAGTATACTTTATGGACAGTAGTGTACACAGGTTTCCCGATCGAATATTTTCTTTTCCAGCGACGATATTATTTTTCGTCCCGGAGTCAGATTTAGCGAGATTTTTATCAGTGGAGCAACGTTATCCGTTGCCACGGTAGAAAAATCGATAGGAAACAGGTACCTTGGTGGCCGGCTGGCCAGGGACGCCGACTGCCTCCTGAGATCCCTTTTATCGACGCTCCTGTCTGGGCTCAGATGGCTCTTGGAGTCGCGCCGCCTCGGATAAGAGGCGGAATCTGGGCTCAGTGAATCCCTTCGAGCCCTTCGTCCTTCAAGGAACAATAGAAACCATCTAAATACCGGTCGATCTCTCATGAACACCCGCGACAAGAATAGGCATGCAAAAATCGGGATAGAAAGTGGAGACAGATTTAGTAGGGAGAAGAATGTTAATGTTCATAGACAGTCTGAGCAGTTTATTTATTTTACGTTTTTTGCATCCGATGGTTATAATGTGCAATTGGAATGCATAGGTGTACCTCCTTCGTCGGGATCCGGCGATAACGTCGGCTGGCTCCCACGTCGTACTGCGGGTGGCATCGATTCGTCTATCGCGGCTGCCTGGCGTATTAATCTCGACGATTTGCTCGGGTAACCCTCCTTTCCTTTGTAATAGCACTGCAACAGAGGCGATCTACCGTAACTGGATTTGCTTCGCTGCGATCGCGCTGCCATGTGTCAACGTTGGTCTCGAATTTTAGGCACTTGCGGCGCATTCTTCGAATTAAAGATCACCCGGTGTATAGAATTGTATGAAATTAAGTGGAACGAATACGCCTGACCACACGCTGACTAATACTACTTGTAATTTTCTTTCTTTAATCTTTCGAGCACATCTACATTCCAAGACTGTTGTAAAGCATATAATGTATTTATCGCAGACACATAAGATATATGTTAACACTGACACATACAATACATCA